CTTTAAACCGGATTTAGTAGTAATCCTTGAACCCCGGATAAGTGGGGGCAGAGCTGATGCTTTCATCGCCTCCACTGGTTTCGATCGCTCTCACCGCATTGAATCTGTAGGTCTTCAGGAGGCATATGGTTATACTGGCGCGGAAACATCCATGTCGAAATACTCCTCAATCATTTGTAGTTTATCCAGTGCCGTATAGCTACCACCTGTGGCAAGTTCTCGACTTTGGCAACCATTATATATACCAGCCCGAATGCAACAAAGCGAAAACAATTATGGCCTTACCTTCGATCCCTCGCTGGAAATATTACCTCCCCTTGGATCATGTTTGGAGATTTTAATTCCACACTCACTGCTTCGGATCGGATGAATGGTGCAATTTCTACTGGGCCTTACAAAAATTTCCAGGATTTTGTTTATGATTTCAACATCCGTGACATGGGATTCCAAGGTCTTGAATTCATGTGGAATCGGGGTCTCTCTTACGCTCGTCTTGACAGAGCTTTATGTAATAGCAAATGGGACAAATCGTATCCTGAAACAGACATACATCATCTTCATCGTATGCGGTCTGATCACAGACCAATTCTCCTTTGTGTTGGCAGCTCTAAACCTAACCTTCGCCCGACTCAATTCAGATATTTCTCTGGCTGGTTACAACATGATGATTTCAACCGAATGGTGAAGGATAACTAGATAAACTCTGAGTCTCTTTCGGACACTATCACCCTTTTTATTAATGCAGCTGATACATGGAATAAAACGGTGTTTGGTTATATTGGCACAAAAAAGAAGATAGTTATGGCAAGACTTCGAGGAATACACAAAAGCCTCAATAGACATCATTCGGCTTTCCTTATCAATCTTGAAACCGAACTCCTCACCGAGTTACAGCAGCTCCTAGACCAAGAGGAAATTCTATGAAAACAACGCTCAAGAATAAATTGGACTACCCAAGGTGACCGAAACATAAAATACTTCCATAGAAATGCCTTGCAGCGAAAGCAAAAGAAGCGAATCTTAGCCCTTAAACTTCCTCTAAATGATTGGTGCTTTGACACGAATAAACTTAAGGAAGAAGCGGTTAATTTTTTCAGGAATATTTATGCATGCGATGAGGACGTGGTAGGGAATTTTCCCATTTCAGGTTACTTCCATGCTATTTCGACTCATTTAAAGGATTCCATGTCCATTGAACCCGATGAAAAGGAAATCTATGAAGCTCTTAAGGATATGGCTCCCCTAAAAGCACCGGGACATGATGGACTCCATGTAGAATTTTTCCAACAATAGTGGCACGTGGTGGGTCATTCTGTCTGCAGCATGGTGAAAAACGTTTTTGCAGGAGGTGACATTTAAGCCGACCTAAACAAAACTGTGCTTGTTCTAATCCCAAAAAAAGGACCTGAAACTTTCGTGGACTTCCGTCCCGTCAGCTTATGCATAGTTATGTACAAACTCATCACAAAAATTATTGTCCGTCGCATAAAACAAGTGATGCCTATTTTGATCATGCCGAAACAAACAAGCTTCATCGTTGGCCGCTCTATCACCGAAAACATCATTATAAATCAGGAGGTAATCCATTCTATGCGCCAACTCAAGACAAAGCAAGGTTGGATGGCAATTAAGGTGGATCTTGAAAAAGCTTTTGATCGCCTCCGATGGGAGTTCATTCAAGACTCGCTCACTGAAGCTGGCTTTCCACTATGCACTATTCGACTCATAATGCACTGTATAACTTTGACCTCTATGCAAATCCAATGGAATGATGAGAATTCTTCTGTGTTCCAACCAGAACGGGGTATCCGACAAGGTGACCTACTTTCTCCATACCTCTTTCTTTGTTCTAGCAATGGAACGTCTTGGCCATAGCATCCGTAAATGTGTTAAAGAAGGTGATTGGAAGTGTTATTCTTTTTCCCGGCAGGGTCTCTCTATCAGTCATTTATTTTTTGCTGATGATCTTATGTTATATGCAAAGGCTGACCTACACCATGCGGAAATCATTGAGAAAACCCTCAAGGAATTTAGGTATTTCTCGGGGCACAAAGTTAGTAAACGGAAGACGCATATATACTTCTCGCCTAATACCACCATATCCACGAAATCTTCTATTCTATCATGTCTTGGTTTCCAAGAAGTTGAATCTATGGGGAAGTATCTTGGAGTTCCGATCCTCCATAGACGTATGAAAATTACTGATTTTGATTTCATCTTTGATAAGTTCAGGAGTAAACTAAATGGATGGGTTACTCGATCCCTTTCGCTTCCAGGGCGCATTACTCTGACAAAATCAGTCCTTTCAGCTATTCCGAATTATTTTATGCAAGTCATGACATTCCCTAAACGGGTCTGTAATGAGATAGAAATTACAGCAAGATGTTTTATTTGGGGGTCGAAACCATCTGGTAGGAAAATCTCTCTAGTTAACTGAATTACCGTTTGTAATCTAATTGATCGAGGAGGTTTGGGGTTTATTCGACCTCTTGAGCAAAACAAAGCTTTCATAATGAAGCTTGGTTATTCCCTTATGGTGAAGACAAACTCTTACTGGGTCCAACTACTCAGACAAAAATATAAAATCCATGAGGCTCACCCTATATCGATTGAAAAGTACAATTGTTCCCCATTATGGAGAGGAATATCAAAAATATGAAGACAATTGCTCTCATGTTTGGTTTGGTCAGTGGGTAATGGGAACCCTATAACTTTCTGGAATGATAATTGGGTACCGAGCTTGGGGCCTTTACGAGACTATGCCTGAGATGATATACATGCTGATTTAACCCAGAAAATTCATAACTTCGTTGATGTTCATGGCCATTGGGACGTTGCAGCTCTATCTCAAGTTCTTATTCCAGCTGTCATACCTCACGTCATTAGTGTTCTACCCCCAGATAGAAACGATAAACCCGATACACTGATCTGGAGATGGACCCCTTAACTTAACTTTACAATTAAGTCAGCTTATACTTTTCTCATGGAAGGTAACTGGAATGAAAAAAGCTCTATTTGGAAGGTAATTTGGTCAATCACTGCTCCTCAATGAGTTCGCATGTTTACATGGCTCTCTTATAAAGAAAAAATCATGACAAATTATGAGCGAGGAAGACGACTGCTCATAAATAACTATTCCTGTCCGACTTGTGGTGCAACAACTGAAACTGTAATTCATGTGCTACGTGACTGCCCACCAAGCCGACACATGTGGTTGCACATTATGCCCCAATCCGCCTGCTCAAGCTTTTTCAAGACTGACCTTCATTCATGGATTACACGAAACATACACGTGCATCATCCCTTATGCGATGGTGATCCCTCTTGGTCCTCTCTTTTTACTGCTCTCATTTGGCTAATTTGGAAACAAATGAACGATTATGTTTTTAAGGGCGTCAATTATAAAACAGACTCGGTCATTCATAGTAGTTATAGATGGGCCAAATGCTATGAAACCAATATCAAAAATCCTTCTGCACGCCCTACACAACAGGGGGCTGCTTCAACATGGTCTTCGCCCCGAGGATGGACGTGTTTAAACACGGATGGTGCAGTTGCGACACTTGATGGGTGAGGTTCGATTGGTGGTGTGTTTCGCAACTCCACTAGTGACTGGATTACAGGTTTTACAAAGAATATAGGGACAACATCGGCCCTCTACATAGAACTCTGGAGCATCTATGAAGGTTTACTTATTGCAAGGAGCTTTAGGGTTTCCAGATTATTGATAAAATCCGACTGTAGCAAAACAGTCAAGCTGATCGAAGATAGTGCTACCATTGACAGTCATATTCCTCTAGTGCGCGCAATCCTGAAGCAACGAAGGTCTGGATGCTGGATAACAAAGGTCCAATGGATAAGCAGGAATGGGAACACGATTGCAGATAAGATGGCAAAGCTTTCCTCCTGGAATCACTTCAGTTTGATTTGTTTCGATTCTCCCCCTGATGAGCTTGTTGATCTTCTTCGAATTGAAGCAGCCGATGCACAGCAAGACGATGCCACTAGACATGCTTAGACTACTGTCTTAGGCTTTCTTTTAATTAAAAAAAAGTTATCTGATTTATTTTAGTTTGGGTACTTTTTCCCTCATATGCCCAACATTGATTAGTATTAATTAGGAGGGATTTTTGTCATTTAAAAGAAGAAAAAAAATTAGCTGACCCTATTCCCATATGTAATGGGGTAAGCGGGAGGTAGGATAGTAGGCTGCCCCCAACGCCAGGTTGAGAGCAACTTCCGTAGGAGACCTCCGGCAGTCAGAATTATAAATTGCCCACCATGGGACTCTATCCCACGACCTCAAGGTTTAGAGTCTTGTGCTCTACCAACTAAGCTTTATTGCTCGATTTTCTATTAGCCCACGTTGAGTGTGTTACAAATTACAATTGGACCTAACCAAGTCCAACTTAATTCAGTTAGACCCATTGAACCTACTAGAACTTACTTATAGATTATTTCATTTCATAACATTTTCCTGAGTTTATTGGAGCTCAAGATAATGCATGAGATCCAAGAAAGACACAATAATTAGATACTGAGCGTCTATCATCAATATCATTGCTCCAATCAGAATCAGAAAACACACAAAAAAGAGTGGGGAAGAGTTACAAAAAGCAAACCATAATCCATGACCAATGATCAGTTGTTGGAGCCTGCATATACTATGAAATTTTGTTTACATGAAAAGAAATATCAGGCCTCGTGTGACATACGCATCGGAGAGCGCCGTTAGTACTTGGATAACCGTGAGGATCATATAAAGGCACTCCAACCATCATGCTAAGTATAATTAGAGTAGCAACAAGTTAGGAGTGAATCATATGTGTTTTTTTTCTAGCAACTCAGCCAAAAGTAGAACTGCAAGTGACAAAAATATCATCCATGTAAATAGTATATGTCTAAAAGTTGCCCCAAATCGAGAATTTTAAGGGTGGTTTTGATTAAATTGGGGTTTTTCATTTTAAAAGAATTTAATTTTGAGGAGTCACCACCAATTTTTAATCGTCCGAAGTTGTTAAACGGAATTGGACCGGTTTTATGTCCCATCCATGGATGTGCTCGGAGTTGCAAACCTGACGACCGAGTCTCTTCAAGGATTTCCCGAGCTGGAGTCTGAAGAACAGGCTATATGTGCCTGCAGGGAATTGAAACTCCAGCTCTCCATCTACTTCAAACCACCATGTTTGTTGAAGGTATGCTACTGTAGAATATCTGCAGAAAAGATCAAATCAAAGGAAGAGCTTGAGCTAGAAACATGACAGATAAGAAAAAGTTAATTGCATCATAGTCCCCAAATTATAACATAAGTTCTAAATTAGTCCAAATTTCAAATCGTTTTAATTTAATCTGTCAAGTATCAATATTATATCAATCATATCCTTCTTTTGACTTCATTAGCTCAGATCTAACCTAGAGCCATGCTTACAACGTCATCAGATGCTTTAAAAATGATATAAATCATGTCAAACTTATATTAAACATCTAAATTGATCCCGGTGGAAATAAACGCACCTGGATTCTCACCTGGATTAATTTAGAATCTGGAAAAGATAAACACACCTGGATTCCTCGGTGGAGATATGACTCCAATATCTCCGATCATCGATCCCGGTGATTGTCAACGCCTTGGATGAAATCGATAAACAAACACCACCTGTGTTCTTATCTAACCGTATCTCCTGCATAGCCAAAAGGCAACATTGTTAGATCATTAACCTAAACCACTAAAAAGGAGAAAAACGGATACTATATAATGTTAACCTTTGTGCCACCATCAAAGGGATTAGGCCTGCACAACCTGGCATAAAGTTCTTTCTTCTGCAGATTTCTCAAACTTGTATCTGCTACCAGTACTTTCTCCACAATGAACTTGTAACCGGAGGGTAATTTCGATTCCCATATGAAATCAGCTGATGAGGCACTGCGAAACGATCGATTCAACCGGGCCAATTTACAAATCTCAGGTGGGTTTAACTGTGCTAAGATCAAGGCCGCGCAGCTCTCCGGTATGTCACCGAGTCTTGGCCTCGATGGAGGACCGCCTCCATCCCTTTCAGCAGCAGCAGATAAGTTGGCACCAATCAAGTACCTTTTTTAACCAGAAAGGTCAAAACCCTGAGTTGTTCTCGAATCACAGGGATTACACAAAGAGAACCTGGAAAAGTAGAGACTAAACCGGAGTTTGTCGTTTGAAATCCGATGGAAAAAATGTGTAAAACCTGTGTAAAACCTGTGTAAAATTGCTGTTTCAGGTGAGACAAAAGGATGTTTTTGACGGAGAGTGGATCAGTGGAGATCTTATCCACGTTATCAACATTTAAAAGTGACAGTTGTTTCACTTGGTTTGCTGAATCCCAGGTTAGGTACTTATACTGATGTCTGCTCCAAATACTTTCATCAACGGCAACTGGATTAGCAGACACGCGTATTTTTTCCGTTAAACTACATTAATAGACACTGGACTTTTAAGATAATTTCACTTTGACAATTGAAAAAGTTTCATTAGAATAACTGTAGTTATGACAAACATTCATTTAAATCATTAAACTGTTAAATCAATAATGAAAGTTAACGTGATATATAAGTTAACAAATTTTAAAAATATAATAGTTTTAGCTTTTTTTTTATCATTTTTATTATCGTTCGATATTTTTTTTTCAATTTCAATTCGTAGAAAAAATTTCTAATCTCTTAAAATTTCAATCAAAATTAAAAGTTAAAAGTTAAAATTTCAATTCATAGAATTTAATCGGAGTCACCACTAATTTTTGTTTAGGGTGTGATTGGATCACCCTAAAAAGTTTTATCATTTTAATACAATTTAATTTTTAAAAATTACTAAAACGATGTTTTAGGTCTACTTACTAAAAATTGAGTTCGAGAGTCTTTTACACGTAGAAAAATATTAGCCCCCCATGACGCTCTAAAATCGACAGTTGTTGTTTTTGTAAGGAAATTTACAAATTTAAATTTAATTTAATTGAAGATCTCATTTTTAGGGAAACACTCACGTGCGGCGCCTTAGTATACGGCTAAAATAAAGCGCTACCGGTTTTGTTATTATTTTAAATAACAAAACCGGTAAAAAATGAATGAAAACATTATTATTTTTACCGGTTCTAATTACATATATAGGTAAACGCGGTAGAAAAAATCCGGTCAAAAAATAATATTTTAGGTAGCACTTTACTGAAATCATTATTTTTTGACCGGATTTTTTCTACCGTGTTTACCTATATAAGTAATTATAACCGGTAAAAATAATAATGTTTTCGGTCATTTTTTCCCAATTTTATTATTTAAAATAATAACAAAACCGATAGTGCTTTATTTTAACTGTATACTAAGGCGCCGCACCGTATAACTGCCCTTCAATTTTTGAAGAAAACAAGTCTTTGTGTTTCGTACATAAGAAACAACTATTTTCTTACTCAAATCGAAATATCAAAATATAATAGCTTATCTTGTAATTCTCGACCATAATTATTATCAGATGTACTTAAGAGAAATAAATATGCTAAATTTACGTGCATTATAAAAATTTACGCAAAAATAATTAAGAGATTATCAATCTTTTAGAGTTGATAAATAATATTCAAATATTTAAAAATAGAAATGACTTTTTTTACATCAGTTTAAATACAAGAACATATCCTTTTCTCCTTGGTTGTGTCAATTTTACAAATTATTAATTTTTAGGTGACACTAAACGGGATAGCACTTTTATTCTATATGATCGGGTCAGACCCTCGAACTATGAAGCAATCCTTCGTGATATTATAAAATAAAGGGGTATTACCCTTAATCAAATTATGAAGTTTGAATTGAATTGTACTTATGAGGCTCATACATGTTATGTAAAAGTGATTTTATGTGACCAAATTTACATATAAATGAATATATTAACGAAAGGTGGCTTTATCCACGTACAAAGTTGCTAATTAATAATTTTAAAATACTAATTATATTATTAACACATACATATGTACATTGATATAGAAAACAGTGGGTATACGATATATGATAAAACACATGTATACGTATGGATGAAAAGTATGTTCAACCTACGAATATAAGTGCTTACAAAAAATACAAGTGCTTCCATAACAGGGAAGAAGAAGAAAATTAAGTAATAGTTGTAACAAAACTTAGATTATGCTAATAAACATTTTAGGGTAACACATACATCTACTCATAAAATAAGCACATGGCACAAAAAATGGATGTCCCTTGTTCTCATATGTAATGGGGTAAGGGGGAGGTAAAATAATAGGCTGCTCCCAACACTAAGTTGAGTGCAGCTTCTGTAGGAGACCTCCGAATTATGAAATGCCCACCATGAAACTCGATCCCACGACCTCAAGATTAAAAACCTTGTACTCTACCAACTGAGTTGGATGGTCATTCAACATGACACAGTGACTAAGATAAACCAAACAGCCAACATATAACTTGAATTTAAAAGGCTAAAGCTAATAAAAGACTTGATATTCAACAACAATAGCATTACAGGTTCTAGATTGAACTAATACACATACAAAAGATTAAACAATAAAGGGAAAACATGCACGGCTTAAATGAATAAACGTGAAAGGTAAAAGGCTTAAACATAAATAGTTTAAAATCAAATACGAACAAAATCGCATCAAACAAAGGCAACATAAAGCAACCAAGATAAAACAAAAATAAATGGATTTAACATGCAGCTTCCCCACTACAATAATCAACATAAGGTGGTGAATAAAATGAAAGCAAATTTAAAAGCAGTGACCGAATCAAGGGCCTGAACAATAAGTTTAAAAAAGGGTCAAGGACCAAAATGAATTTCGAGGAAAAACCGAGAGAGCACGGAGATGAATACCCCAAACCCACAATGAAAGGGGCAGATAACTTGGTTTGGGCTGCTTTCACGTAGGTCTATAAGATAAAAAAACATAAACAAAGCTTTAATATTTTATTTTAAAATTTTTGGATCAAAACCCATTCTTAAAAACCTCTGAACTGTTCTTCATGTTCATCCACTTTTGAGCAAAAATCCAATATCCGATTGAACCCCGCCGCGCCGGTCGCCGTTGCAAGCAGCGAGAACGAAGAAATTTTTCCCTTTTTCGAATCCTTCTTAAACCCCAAACTCTAAATTCATTCTTCGTTTTCTCTTAAGACCTCTGAGAACTCATATATCTGAAAATTTATTTTCAAAACCCCAATATTTTTTTATAAAAAAAAAAAATCAAATCTTGGCTTCAAAATCTTTAATTAGGCTTTGGAAATCTATGGGTTGTGTGCCATCTACAACAATCAAAGTAAAAGAGAAGAAGAATACCTTGAAAACTTGAAGGTATGTTGTATTTCAAATTCCAAAAAAAATTACAGAGTTTCTAGTTTGATTTTTTTTCCTCTCGAAATTACATCCGCTTCCTTTCGTTTTCTTATGTTTTCTTTTTTCACTCTTTTTTTTTTCGTTTGATTTTCAGGGTGCTAGATTCTCCGCTCTTTTTAAAAAAAATGGTTTAGGGTTTTCTCCATGGACCGGTCACAAGGGTGACCACTTCGGATGATTGAAAAACACCAGCGATGGAAGAGGAGGTCGGAGGCCGGCGTTGGTAGCTGGGTGCATTAATGAGGGCCATTAATGTCCCTGATTTCCAGGATATTGTTGAATCGGCTCACAAATCGGCAGCGACGACTGGAGCTCTGACGGCGGCAGCGGCTATATAATACTAGGGTTAAAATGTATTTAAGGTTAGGGTTTTATCCTAACCGTTGGATCATCAACAGATCTAATGGTTAGGGGTTGGTGGTGACTAGGTTTTTAGAATGTCATAATGAACGAGGGCTTTAGGGTTCACAATACTTGAACTTGTTTTGTATATCGGGTTAGCTTTTAATTTGGATAATAATTTGGACATTTGGATTTATTTTAATTTAGCTTTATTTAATTTGGACTCCAAATGACCCAGACAAATTTGGTTATTACAGTATCGTAACAACTGATGCATGCTTATAAACAAGAAATGATATATCAGTAATAGAGGCCTTAAACACAAGTACACAGAAAAGCTTTAAGTTTGTCAAACCAGCTGGGAGGAGTTGTAATAGAACATTGATGGTGAAGAACCTGATAACCCAACTTAAAGTGTCTCAGAAATCATGACCAGCAACCTCAGCATAACCCTTGCCCACCAAACATGCCTTGCATATGTTGAATGTTCCATTTTTCATATATTAATTGAAAGCTGACATTTTTCCCTATAAATTAATTAATGCGACTGCACTCTTCTCTCAACTTTCAATTTTGATAACTTCTCTCAGCTGTGCATTGCACCAGCTTTGTTATCAATTTCACCTTCATTTTCTACACCATTGGCCGTACGATTAATTAAGAAATAAAAAATATCCTACTATGCTCTTTGTTAGTTATGTCAAACTTTACGATAAGACAACTTTTAATATTTTAAAAGATGATGAATTTATAAAATTTTAAAATAAAAAATCATATTATCAATAAAAAATATACCAAAAATATATATTAAATATATGATAATTTAAAATTTTTAACATGACAACTGTCACCAACCGTCTCTTGCGTTCATCCCTTCTTAAACATGAAGGTTAATCCATGCACGACAGAAACACAGAGGAAATTGAACTAAATCGACATATACGTTTGGGGAAGGTGGCACAATTTATATTAGTTGAAAGAACATCGCCTTCCGTAAAATAAAGACATCAAATGATTATTTACACAATTACTTTGAAGAGAGTAACTGTGGAACGACTCGGATTCAACGAAGCTCGGCATCCACACAAAATCCCTTACTTGCTTCAACGTTTGTGTCTGCAACAATCTCTGCCCCATGCACAATATCTCCACCTGTCATGCATCACAGAAAACAAAAAAACAAAAGCTTCGTCACTTCGACCAAACAGCAATCTTCCTTGTCATGTTAATTTTATTTTTTGTCGGAAAAAAACAAGAAAAACCAGCAACGAGGGATTGAATAATTACCTCAGCTTCATTGGAGACACCGAGCTTTGTAACCAGGTACTTTTTAACCATGAAAATCGTCACGTTCTCGTCCCTTATAATTATTTCCATTTTAGATTATTTTTTTTAAAATGGAAAAAGACAACAAAACCCAAAAGGAAAAGCAACGTCAGCTTTTTTCTCACTCATTTTGCTGAACACCATCATTAGCTAGTTGAAAGATAGGGAAAAAGGGGGGGGGGGGAAACACAAACACACACGACAGTGAAACGATCAAACTGTATGTAATGCTAACGTGCACCCCCACTTACTTCACTCTAATGTACGCCTTTGGTATTTGAGGCAGTGCTTCCCCGTTCCTGCAAAATATGGTTAGGTAACGCAAACAATATTACAAACCCTACCTACTTGTTCTATAATACAATTATTAACAAAAAGAGATTATTTCCATTTGTGTTATATATATATATATATATATATATATATTGCTAAATCATGGAAATTAATGTATATAGGGGATGTGAAAGCAATGGAAATCGGTCGTACAGTATCGAAGAATCTGATAAAATATATTAAAATGGATAAAAGAGGAGAAAAAAGAGGTAAACGATGGATTGATTGAGATGGATGAAACGAAACGATGATGAGAATGGAGCATGTGAAAGAGAGAGCGTGCTGTGTTTATTAATGATGGTAAGATTGAAAAAATAAAAGAACTCTAACCGGTTGGTGTAGGAGTGAAGGGTAAACCACAAGTCAGAGTGGGGTCTGGTTCTCCTGGAGTAATCATGGTGATTATTGGGAACCGACATTTGCCAGTCGTTCAAGCTACCTGAAGAAAGATTACTCATGTCATGGCACGGCCACCACCACGCCATATCATCATAATCATCATCATCGCCATCACCGTAATGATCATCATCGTCATCTTCTTCTTCTCCGTGGTCCAACCCTAAACCTAAACCCAGCTCCAACCCTTTGCTGCTGCAACCAGGTGGGTTGTGCTTGGATTTGAGGTTTGAAGAAGCAGCCGAGGCTGAAACTGGGAAAGGAAGGACACTGTTAGGGTTATTGGGTTGATTGTGTGGCTCGAGTTGTTGTTTCCTTGGTGCAATGCTAAACCCTAACCCTAACTCAAGCCATTGGTTGTCTTCTGAAGATGGGCAGTTGAGATTTTCTTTAGTGGTTCTCTCAGAATGCCAAAGAGAGGCCATTCGCACGAGCCAGTTCTTGAGGATGTGTTTAGCAAAAGGGGGTAAGGGATAATGTTTGGTTTGGTTTGGTCCTTTTAGGGAACGCTAAACCTGCCTGCTGTTTCAAACCTAAACCCACGTATTCTGCCTAAAATCCAATTCTCATCTCTCCGTCTTTTTCATGAATATAAGTAATAAAAATTATTTAACTCTGCTTTGATAATTTTGGAATTAGATTTTGTTGATTATTCTTTTAATAGAAACGGCTAGTTTTATTCAACAATAAGGAAATATTTAAAATTAATGAAAGATTTATAATTATCAGCGTAAACTAAACATATAATTATAATATTGTTTATAATCATTATAAAAGAAACTAGTCACTTGAGATTAATAACGATCATACAAGAAAGAAGTTAAAACTCATCTAAAAAAGCTCGAACAAAATGATTGATACGAACATATATAATTGTATCAACAAATGAATCACAACATGAGATGAAATTATTAAAAGACCACCATAAATCGTAAATCGGAGTCGAGCATTGTGAGACAACTATCTTCGAAAGTAAATAAGGTATTCAAATCCAATTCGATTGTTTAAAACAAAGAATATCAATAAGATAATAAATAAATATCACTTTAATTAATTGATACGTTGTATAATATAACTCTAAAAAAATAAAACGAAAAAAATAAAACAATCAATAAAAAATTAAAAAAACAAAAAAATGCTATAAAAATAGAGTAATATGTGTTATAAAGATAAAATTATTAAAATATAAAATATAAAAAAGGTAAAGAAGAAGATTGACGGCCAAAACCAATCCTAAGATTAGTGTTGTCGTCTGTGAACAGAAATAAAAAGAATGAGCAAACAGGCGGCGCAAAAATTTTAAAGAAAATAACATCTAAAATATATTATTTAGGAAATAATAATCTTTCAATAAAGACATATGTTCATACTCGTACAAGTATTTGTTTTTCATATTATATAAATTTTTTTATCTTTTCTTATTTCTTTCATTTTAATCTTAATTAATATAAATATTAAAAAAATTATTCAATTTATTGTGACATCAATAAAGGTATATCCTACAAAATACCTCTTTAAAGGGGATGAACTACATGTGTGTCTTTATAAAAAAATTAATATTTTTTAAAATAATTTTTTTTTGTGTTCTTGTTGGTGTGGGATTGAATGAGATACTATGGTTGTAGATGATTCATTCCTTTTAATTTTGGTAAAAAATTATAATTAATGCTTAATTAATCATTAGTCAATGTCAAAGTATTTTATCTTAATAAGAATGCATAGATAAATAAAGGTGATGTAATTTTTAGGTCAAATCTCGTCTTTCAATCTTGTTCAAAAGATTTTTTTAATGACTCTCAGTGTGTATTAGTTGTAAAATCGATTATATGTAAGCTAGTAAACTAAATAAATATAATTAGATAATGATAAATTAAATTATGATTAATTATATAAATTTATCAAAAAATATATTAATATACTTCTTATGAATTTGAGACTCTACTTTCAAAAATTTTCTTTCTGTATCTTTCAAAATTCCTCAACCATCACAAATAATTATGACTTATATGGAGACTATAGGACGTGAGAGGTAAGTGGAGCACCATTTTGTTGGTATAAACATAGGTATGTCGATCGATTATTACGAACAAAATATTGTAAAGGTAAAAATAATCCTCCCAACTTTTACATAACAGTTTAAATAGTTATATATTAATAATAAATCAAATACAAACCTTTTAATCTTTTTATATTTAAAACTATAGCCATCATTATTGAAAGTTAAAAAATATAGAATCATTGAAATAGAATTATATACATCAATCACAACTAACAGTAAAAACCAAGTAGACTTGTCATGGCGGGTGAGATTCGACGTTAAGTCCAATTATTTCCATTCGTATTGTTTTATGGAATTTACATTAACTTAATTTTTAAAATCGCGCAATTTTTTAAATATATTATTTAATTAAATCAATTTTTAAAATAAACAAATATCACAGTAAGAAAAGTGTTTTGACAACATTTAATTGTTTATTTTCTTATTATTTATCATTAGAGATGGATTAAGAGGGTGTTGACATACGCTCGAACATTTAAAAATTTTAAATTTATTTATAATTTAAGTTATTTTATATTTTGATTGATAATTTAATTTTTCTTTTTAAATTTTAGAATTTTTTACTTTAAAATTTCTTGATCAATTCTTAAAATTTATATATTTTTAACCTAAAATTATACGTTTATCCATATTTAATATTTGAAAATAAAACTCAAAAAATTATTAATTAATCTCATTCGTAAAAAATATTATTATCTCAAAAAATCTAAATTAAATTATCTATATCTTCAAATTGTGAGCGTATTACCAATTAATTAAATTTATTTTAAACATATAATACCTAAAATTATTAAAGAAAATGAAACATAAGTCAACAGAGGGTGCTTAGCCCTGAATCCTGTAGGCAATGATGAAATGTGATATGGGTCTGATATGATTGGTAACACTCGCATGGGGAAATTAACCTATCCATAGGGGCAAATGGATTGCTCTTTTACGAGCCATCCATCCTCATGCGTCAAGTCTCAACAGTTCAACAAGAAACTAGGATTTTTGGTGTCACTTTTTTTTTACAATCATCTGATTTATTAATTGATTTATTTAAATAAAATAGTATAAAATTTTAATATAAAAATAATCTTTTTAATCTAATTTATTCTATATTAAGTATTAAAAATAAACTTTTTTACTTTACTTAAAAGTCTGATACCAAGACTCAGTATAAGGAACAGATTTCCGGCTAAGCGTGGGTTTAGCATCGAGTACGAAATCTTAGCCCTTTACGATCGATCCTAGTCATAACTTTGTCTCCCCTAATCTATAAATGAGTAGCGGAGATGTTCACCACTCGATGACCACCAGGTTTGCACGGGAATTCATTACACTTCCATCATTATATCGTATGTAATCATTGTAAATAGTGTCTAAAATGTAAGATATTTGCATTTTCAAGCCACCCTGTGTTTGATTTGAAAACTATAATGCACCTCCATCACTGTCGGACTCTGGTTCATGTAGATCCAATTATTTACAAATTTGGATGTATTTGAATTCATGGTTTGAATAGTTTTAGTCTATAATAATATGTAGAGCAAATTTTGTATTATTCTTTAAATTATATATAAAAAATTCAAGGTCTTAGAGCAAAAATTAAAAATAAATTCTTATATAATGAAAGCATGTTTTATTTTTTAAACAATGGTAAATATATTTCATTATTAAAAAATGATTGAATGAATCATAATTACAAGCATCTAAATAGAGGGAATAATCACTAAAAACCCCATACAAAAACAAAAATATTAAACTACAAAGAAAAACGAGAGATTTCTTTGAGTATAACGTCCAACATCAAAAGAACATATTAATATTTATAAAAATTCATTGTTTCTGTTGGAAATATGGACTACAAAATCACACCGTTAGCACTGACAGGAAAAGTAAATAGTAATTTAAAAAAATAAATTCGTAAATTGTGTCGTGGTAAAACTACTGCCTTAGAGACGAATTCACCTCGATGTGTGTAATCGTTCTAATAGGTAGATCGTCCCCTGAGGTTAACACGGTCGCTCCAAATTTCGTACACCCGAAATCGGAGTGGACTATAGGTAGTATTGCACTTCTAATCATAAAATATTGAGATAAAGCTTTCTAAACACTTTAGAGAGTGAAAAGTTGTTGAGAGAGTGAGTTGAGAAGTTAAAATCAACTCTCTATTTATAGACTATAATTAAGGTTGAAATCGTCCATAAAAATCATGATTAAAACTTTTTATTATAACAACTGAAACGTTCAGATGAACCTGACTAAAAAATAGTTCAAGTTCATTGCATTATTATTCAACTATTATAACTCTTGAAATTAAATCACGTAACTCCTGATATTAACAACTTATCTCCTTTGTAAAAAGCTAGAAATCAGTTCAGATACATCTTAACAGTTTAATTTATTTAATTTCAGACAACTCATAAACCAATTGTTATCATTTGAATTTAAACAGTCCTCAGCATGCTATAAATATCCGGAGAAATCTTTCACATTTTTTTATTTGTTTATTTCAAAGAGAAATTTTACAAGAATTTTCTCTAAAAATATAGTATCTGTGCGGACGTGTCGAAGACATGTATTACCACGACCACGAGTCGAGCCATACCGTGCCGAGACGGACAGACGGGCGGCGGCGGCGACGGTGTGCGAGAGTTCCTCTTGTTTCCTTTCACTCAACAAGGAAGTGGATAATCCAAACCTTAAATACTCATTCCCAATAGCGTTTCCAATACTATGTGGGATTGAGCATTACCAAAATTTCCCCACTAATGCGAAATAAATCTTCTGAAACTAAGAAAATTATATTTTCAGAAGAGCAACATCGAGATTAGTTGCTTAAGTACTAGTGAACGTATCTTGAACTAGTACACAGTGATGATGAGCAATCATTTTCTTAGATAAGTGAAATTACTCTTGAAATTTCTAAGATTAGGTTAAACTCATAACACACAACTAACCCCTTTATCCACCTGAGTCATTGATGTCTAAGATATATATATATATATATATATATAAGTATATATATATTTGGTCATCTTACCTCAGGAT